AAACGTGGGCAGGAGCAGCAGATTACAGGCCCACGGTGGAGCAATGATGAGCTTCCATAGCGTCCTCCGAGTGTCGCGGATCCACATCAGACCGTGATTCACTGCTCAGAGTGCGACGGCGAAGCCTCAGAGAGCCGAAAACCCGGTTAAAGGAGGACGCGATCCATCACGGGAGAACATCAGCGGACAGGAAGACAGAAAGTCAGCGTCAAAGAGCTTCTGTTATCGACTCTGCAGAGGCGGCATCGTCCTGCACAACACCGCTTATCCAGTTAGAGGTTCGCCAGTAAAACTTCATCAGGGTCGGCGTTAGAGACAAAGTCTGCAGCCACTTTCACTCTCGTTGTCTGAACTTCTAACAGGATTCTCCGTCACAACTCAGGCTTCAGAGAACCAACAGAGGCACCGAGTCTGTCAATAACTTAATGAGCCAGCCGTCCAGACGGTTTGTGGCTGCATTTCTTCAACCAACTTGCTGCTACTTTACAGCTTTTACCGAATTTATTCATACAAAAAGTCCCAACTTTAAGATAAAAATCATAATGAACAAATAAAGATCAAAATCTAAGAATGGTCAGAATCTCATTTTGATATATTCTGCAAAATTTTGGGTCATTTGACTAGTTTTAGACCATTCCTGTGACTCCTACGACTCCTCTGAAGGAGGTACTAGAAGGAGGTACTAGAAGGAGACTAGTGAGGGAGGCCACCAAGACTCCTATGACTCCTCTGAAGGAGGTACTAGAAGGAGACTAGTGAAGGAGACAACCAAGACTCCTATGACTCCTCTGAAGGAGGTCCAACACAGTCATGTCCAGGAAGTAGACGGGTCCTACATGTGATGACAGTTTAAATATCCAACTGGACGTCAGTCAGGTTTTTATCTGATTTCTCCTGATATTCGTGTCACTGCTCCTGTCTCCTGCCAGGTAATCAGGTAATCTGTGCGTCAGGCTGTCTTCTTCTGGGGAAACTAAAGCTGGACTTTATGCAGCCTTCATTACAGAAACACTGTTGCTTAGTCACAAACACAAAGACGGAAGAAAAAAATCAATTCAGTTATCGTTTGGTTTTAAGTGTGAGTCTTTGGATGATTTTCTTTAATGGATTCTGTCTTTTGTTGTCTTTTGTTCTTGTGTCAGAATCAGAATGACTCTCCTGGTGACTGTATTATGTACAGCGTAATAATAATGTAAACAGCTTAGAAGTACAGAAACAGAGCGTACAAACAGCACCAGGCCCGGTAGGAACACTCATACGTATCTGCTGGTCTTCTTCAGGCGATGTGAAGTGTTTACACAGTTATTGTTTCATTCGTCTCTCGTCTGGGACAAAGTGGTTTTGATTTTTGGTGCAGAGGAATCTAAAGTGCTGATGTCTGTGTGTCGCTTCACTCTGATGCTGCAGAACCAGAACCTTCCGGACTCGGGCAGCGTTCACACCTTCAGCTCGTTCGCGGTTATGTGTCCCTCAGCAGAAATAATCAGCTTCCTGTCGTGATGTGATCCGACCTTCGGAGACACTGAAACACACTCAGCACTCTGTCATCTCCTCTAAAACCCACTCAGGCCTTTAAACAGCCGCCCGACGGACGAATCAGCGTCGCCCACGGCTTCGCCGCTGACGCCACCGCCGGCGTCACCCAACACAGAAACACAATCCAGATCTGAGCCGACGACGAAACCCAGAACCACCGGAGCTCTTCAGGCACAAATATCATGAAGTCGCCTCGACAAGCCGCTGATCACAAGAACAACACGTCAGAACAAATGTTCCAGAGAAAAGAACGAGTCACGTCTATGAGCGATTCACTCACAGCCAAAGTTCTGCCGACGGAGAGGAACAAAGAGGTCGACGCACCAAAAGGATTTATGTTGAGAATTAACAATGTTGATAATAAAATGCACAGCGGGTTACCATGGTGACAAGTCCAGCTCACGTGTGATTGGTTGGAGGAAAAAGAGCGACAGACGAGGAGCAGAATGAACGAGAAGGACGCGTGGATCAGAACTGAGCAGCAGCAGAAACAGAACCGAGATCAGCTGAGGTGTCGTGTATAACAGTACATACAGAATCCTACACGTCAACATCTGCACTCCTACTGGTCACGTTGCACCTCCACACCTTCAACCTGCACTCTGGTCATCTGTATGAATGCAAACATCAACATATCAGCACCCTCAGCGTTCTGGTGCATCACAGCACAGCTCCATGGCTCTTATCTAACTCCAACTCTTCACTGTTTCCTGCTGCTGCTGCTCTGCACGACTACAGTCACTCTGACTTTTCACTGCTTTTATGTTTTCATCTTGTACCTCACTCTGTACGTATCGTTGCACCGACCCACCAGAACACATTCCTTGCACTGTTTAAACTACACCTGGCAATAAATGTGATTCTGATTCTATTAAAGAGGTTCTACAGGGACGGTTCTGAAGAAAGGCTCAGGATGCTCTCACATGAAACACATCGGATTGATCACATCGGACAGTAAAACAACACAACAGAGGTCCAAGTGAGATCAGCTGAGAACTCACCGGAACCAGAGGAAACCCGCCTCACTGGGAGTTCTGTTAGAGCTGGTCTGCCGGTCCATCTGTTGTGTGTCTGACTCACTGCAACACGAGTGTGTAACCAGAGCGTTCACGCCACAACACGACAACCAGAGTTCAGGGTTTAACGCAACAGCCGAGCGCTCTGCAGACAGACCAGGACCCACCTCTGCTGTGGACGTCCTCACGAAGACCACGAACCCGACAACAAACCGTCTGACGGGTGAAACGTGAGAAGATTCACCCGTTTGTTTCTGAAACACGTGAACCAGAAACAGCTTCGTCTGTCAGAATAAAGTCATTTCATGAAACATCACAGCTTTAGGTTCATCATGTCCTTAAGACATCACATGTGACACGTTCAAGGACCGCAGGAAAGCTGACAATCCAGGGAGTCGCTCAGGTTTTACAGGCTCTGGTGGATCACTGGTGTGATTCTGGAGATTTACAGCTGAAACCAGAACCGGGTGGAGGAAGGTTCTGATTCTACAGGGTCAGAACCAGGAGGAGAAAGGTTCTGATTCTACAGGGTCAGAACCAGGAGGAGGAAGGTTCTGGTTCTACAGGGTCAGAACCGGGTGGAGGAAGGTTCTAGTTCTGACGGATCAGAACCGGGAAGGACGGGTTTTTAGTTTAAACACTTTGTTTCCTGATGGAGGTTCATGATGCGTTCAAGGACTGCGTTGAAAATGAGATTTTGTCCTTTTAAAGCTTCTGGCTGTTAAACATCATTTTGATCATCTTTCTACAGTTTTTGTCTTTTCCGTTGTTTCTTTGTAGTTTTTTGTGGTGATTTTTGTCCTTTACGTTCATATGGTCACACGTTCATCGTTTCTGTGTCGTTCAGTTCCTTGATTCTCAAACTGCCGTGGTTCCCTGTAGAGCTCCCTCTAGTGGTACGTGGAAAACGGTCATAAATATTTTTTGAAAATAAAATTATTTTGAAAATATATATTATCAAAATAGAACAAAACATAGAATTAAAATATAAAACACTGCATATTAAATTCGGGGCTGCAGGTGGCTCTGTGGTTACCACCGTTAGCACCGTTAGCGCCTCACAGCTAGAAGGTGGCCGGTTGGCGTCCCGGTGAGGACACCCGGGATCTTCCTGTGTGGAGTCTCCATGTTCTCCCCGTGCAGCGTGGGTTCTCTCCGGGTTCTCCGGCTTCCTCCCACAGTCCAGAAACATGCTGAGGTTAATTGGTGATTGTAAATTGTCCGTAGGTGTGAATGTGAGTGTGCTTGGTTGTCTGTCTCTAAGTGTAGCCCTGTGATAGACTGGTTACCTGTCCAGGTGAACCTGCCTTCACCCTGAATCAGCTGGGATAGACTCCGCCCCCCATGACCCTAGTGAGGATTAAGGTGTAGAGATGATGGATGGAAGGATGGACACATTAAATTCATGTTGTCTTTCCTTTATTTTTGTCGTTATCAGCTTCTCTACCATCGTCTTCGCTGCTGCCGCTGCTATTCGCTAGCGCATTCGCTGCTAACCGTTAGCAGTATTCGCTAAGACACCCCCGCTTTGACACATTTTGTCAAAAAATCGTGGTGAGGACCCTGAAGGTCGTCCCCTCCAGCTGTCTGTCCGTCTGGGATGCTGTCATGGAGCCATGTTTCTGTTAAAGCAGACACACAGCAGTCCCTCCACAAACGTCCAGCTGGTTGTGGAGAGAGCGGAGGCCGTGAGCTTTCTCCTTCCTTTCGCGACAACGTATATGTGTGAGTGATCAGTTATCAATAAATAATCCTCACATTCAGAGTTAGCATGCCTCCATAGGGTCAGCCTTCACTACTGTGTGTTCAGGTTGCTCATCATGGTGGTACGTGGAGAGCTCCATATCTTCTCAGGTGGTCCACACTGTAAGAGGTTTCAGAACCACTGGTTCAGTTTCCTGAGCAACAGCTTCCACATAAATGTCCTTCAGGAGGATAAAGCTCGATCTAATCTCCCCGTATCTCACTTTGACTTTTTGTTTTTATTCTTCTTCTGTCTCCGTTTATTCAAACTTTCTCTCTTTTCTGTTTTGTTTTTTGGTCTGTTTTGTCCCTGTTTCGGTTTGTTTCTGTTGATATTTTCTCTGTTGTCTGGGTTTTCGTCGTCTCCTCTCGTTTCCCTGCCGGGCTCAGCTGGCCTCTCACAGGATCTCATGATTTATTTTTTTCTACAGAATCTGGTACAAACAATTTGCTTTCAGGCGAATATTTCAATAAGGTTTGATTCAGACCAAGTTAAATGTTGTTCTTGTGAACCTGATTAATTTTCCCGACTGAAAGCGCATAACGGACACGTTCAAGGACTGTCTGGAAGTTTCTGTGTTTACAGGTTCTGGCTGATAAATGGTATAACTTCGGTGACTTTTTTAAAAGATAGAAGGCCTTCCAAACCTGCCGGCGGGCTCCATTGTTCCAGTAACAGCTAAACAAAACGACCAGGTGACTCACGTGGATGTTGCGGAGCTTCCTGCGTCCTCTGTCCAGGCGGCTCAGCAGCTTCAGGTGTTGCTGCTCCGAAGCCGCCGGCTGCAGCAGACGGTCGTCCACGGAAACCGTCTTCCTCAGAGACGCCCGGTCGTTGGTCCACGCCGCCGAGGCCCCGCCCACCGCCGTCAGAGGCAGGCTCCGCCCACCTCCGCCTGCTGGGATGCGCAGCGGCGTCCCGGGAGACAGATCAGGTGACCAGAAGTCGCGCTGCACCAAACCTGCAGAAACCAGAGACGCACTGGTGATACTGGACACCGATAGCACACGAAACACACTAAACACACACACACACACACACACACACACACATAAACACACACACTCTGTGGAAACATGAGAGCAGCTGTCGACCAACATGGAGGTTTTTCTGCATCAAAGCTTCAGACGTTCAAACTTTAGATTCAGTCGTCGGAGTTCGTCTCTCCGACCTGCTGCTGCTGCTTTTCTTCTCTCATCTTCCATCTTTCAAACTTCACGACTTCTTCCATCATTCAGCAGCAACGTCAGAATCCTCCCAGAAAAACTGGAAGTGTCCAGAAACTCATCTCAGATTTGAAAGAACATTTTTATTCTGCAGCAGGAAGCAGCTGCTGATGTGTAACGTTAACAGTGTGTGTGTGTGTGTGTGTGTGTGTGTGTGTGCGTGTCAGGTGTCGGGCTGCAGGTAACTGACCACCTGAGCTGCTGCATTATTAAAACTACACGAGGACTCTGAGGTGAAGCTCCCTCAGTCTGAGTCCTGATCGATCAGCTGATGAGGATCAATAGACGAGAGATTTACTGTCGAGTGTTGAATCATCATCGGTAACCAAACAGATCATCTTCACATAGAACCTGTAACTCTACACGTGTGATGACAGCAGCGCTTCGACCACGACAGTAAATGAGTCGGACCGACGGAAAATGAAAGAAAGGAGACAGAACTGTCCGACACAAAACAACACAAACACACAAAATGAACACAAAGAGACAGAAAGCAACAGAAATGCCTGAGACCGGAAATAAAAAGACGGAAAACAAGCCGCAAAATGACACAAACATCAAAAATCAGACGTGAAACGACAAAAAACGACCACAACAAGAAAAAACACACATTCAGTGACACAAACTGAGACAAACGAGACGTAAAAATGACATAAAATAAGACAAACTGGACACAAAACAACACAAGTTGGCGTGAATTGACTAAAACGAGATAAAATAACAAAAAAAATGAGACACAAAACGACACAAACAGACAAAATGAACACAAAGAGACGGAAACACCAAAAAATAAAAACATGGAACACAAGTCGCAAAACGATACAAAAAACGAAAATGAGCCATGAAACAACACAACATCGCACAAAATGAGAAAAAAAACTAAGACAAGGAAGCAAAACTGTGCTGATGACACATAAAACAACCAAAACTAGAAACAAGACATAATGGATGGATGGATGGATGGATGGATGGATAGATAGATGGATAGATCTTTATTGATCCCTTTGGTGGAACCTCAGGGAAACTGTTGATGACACAAATCAGACCGAAAACAACAAAAACTAGACATAAAATGACCACAAAAACATAAAAATGAGACACAAAATATGACAAACTGGACACAAAACAACTAAAGTTGGGCAGGAATTGACTAAAACAAGACATAAAACAACAAAATGCCACAAAAAATTAAGACATTGAGACAGAAAATGACACAAACAGACAAAATGAACACAAAGAGACAGGAAACAGCAGGAATAAAGCCACAACATGACACAAACAAGACAGGAAACACCAAAACCGAGACACAAAGCGGCAACGCGACACACACGGAGCCCAGACTTGTAACTGTGGGTTGATCAGGGAGACGATGAATAAGAAACAGTGACGCTCAGCAGACAGCAGGTGGAGCCGCTGAGCTGCTCCGGACTCGTCTACAGTCAGGAGTCGGTGTTTCTGAGCCCGTTAACAGGAATCCTAACGAGTCCATCAGGACGTCTGAGGCCGCCATAAAGCGACGCTCAGCTTCATTATCACAGCGGCATCGGAGCCGAGCGCTGCAGCCAGGAGCAGCATGAATGTTTTATGAGCAGAGAGGCCACTCAGCGCTGGACCTCCAGCAGGAGCGCTGAACCTCCAGCAGGAGCGCTGGACCTCCAGCAGGAGCGCTGGACCTCCAGCAGGAGCGCTGAACCTCCAGCAGGAGCGCTGGACTTCCAGCAGGAGCGCTGGCTTCGCCGTCAAACGCTGAATGTCAGAATAATTGTGCTAAATGGAAGCTCGGCGGGAGGTTTCTGCTTTGGGCTCATTAGGAAGTGAATTTAAATGAGACAAAGTTTCTACAGGTGCTGAGCTCCTGAAGCGCGCCAGGAGCTTTCCATCTTTAGATCCCTATTATTGGTCAATAGTGGTTACGTTCATCCAGAACCAACATGGAGGCAGAGGAAGAGCAAGGATCCAGCAGCAGACGGTCCCACGTCTCGGAGTTGGACGGTCCGAAGCCTCGGAGTCGGACGGTCCGACACATCACCAAAAACCTGGCAACAGTGTCTGGCTGTAGGTTTCCATGGTAGCAGTGTCTGGCTGTAGGTAAATACCTGTGACTGTGTGTTTCCATGGCAGCTGTGTCCGACTGTCAGTTTCCATGGTAACAGTGTCTGATTATAGGTTTCCATGGCAACTGCCTCTGACTGTATGTTTCTATGGCACCTTTATCCGATTGTATTTTTCTATGGCAACTGTGTCTTGTTGTAGGTTTCCATGGTAACTGCCTCTGACAGTAGGTTTCCATGGTAACTGCCTCTGACAGTAGGTTTCCATGGTAACTGCCTCTGACATTAGGCTTCCGAGGCAGCTGGTGCTGACTGTAGTTCACTGGTGCTCCTGACATTCAGCAGGTCTCTCTCTGTGTGTCCATGTAGAAAAACTCACCTGGTTTCAGGTAACTGTGACGTCAGACCTCCTCGTGTCACTCTGCTCAGACTGACGTTTGGTCTCTGAGCTGCTGCAGGGCCTGATGGAGACTAGAAGCTTCTCTGAGCACACAGCAGCTTCTCCTGATGCCGTGAGGCGTTTAGGGAACATCGGTGATTACAGCTTCAGGATTAACCTGCGCTACAGTCTCCCTCTCTGCTGCATCAGTCTCTGATCCATCCGTCGTCTCTCCACCACCACAGTGACCTCTCAGCCCAGACTGACATGTGATCCAACAACATCATCTGAATGAGGATGTCCAACAGTAAACAGCAATCTTCCTCTCGTTCCTCTCAGAGCTGCACACTGCTGCATATCTAACCGCCACACACACCAACACACCAGTTAAAAGCCAGCAAACTGGTGCGCTGATGGAGGCGATCACACTGAGCGCGAGCAGACAGACTCCTGCAGCGCCGAGTGATGAGGCTCAACACGCCAACAGTTAGAGCGAAACAACCAGCGCCAAAATGCTTTCGACAAAATCAAATCTGCTCTGTGAGAACCAGGGGGTCGATTCAATTTATGTAGAACAACACAGACGTCAAAGCGATGCAGCAGCTCATCGCACAGTTCAGCCAAAGTACTGCAAAAATACTGGAGCCTGAAGTTAAATGACTTCCAGTTATTCAGTTTTTACTGCATCTAAAATCTTCTTTGTTATTTCTACTTTGGCGCTACAAATGTGAACAATAAAGTTGTTTAAATGAAATCCCTCCATCTGTGCTTCTGTTGTTTAACATGTGAGGGAAGTTTTGCCGTCCTCTGAGGCACCACAGTTTTGTTTGATGAGTTTGTACTGTGTGTTACCATGGAAACCACAGTCCTGAGTCAATACGGCAAATCAATAATAAAAAAGGAGTTCAGAAATGATCGGTGAATAGCAGGTGGTGATGTTTTATTTAAAAAAAAGCAGGAGGTGTCACTCGTGTCACTTCTACACTTTAAGGATAAAATGAAAATACTGAAAGTAAAGTGATCTCACAAATGGTTCATTTATCTGCTTGTAGTGTGTTTTAGGTTTTATGTGGTGTTTGTGTGAGTCAAAAACAAGAAGTGTGTCTTAAAAACGTCTGTTTCAACGCAAAACTGTAAAAAAACATGATGCTGTTCATGAGTTCAGGGTTTGGGACTTCAGACTTTTTAGAGTCGAGGCGCCATCTGGTGGACAGACGGCCAACAAACATCCAGACTGCACGTCAGCGTCGGATGAACGACAAAGTGTCCAGAACGAAACAATCAGAGACACAAAAGGGCAACAAAGAGACAAAAAAATAACGAGACAACAAAACAACCAGAGAAGAAAAGACACACACACACCACAACGGAGAGACAAGATGACCATAAAGACACACAAAGTGACGACAAAGAGATGAAAAACCAGAAAAACAGGCACAAAGCCACCACGAAGAGACCCACAACCACATGAGACAAATTATGACCACACATAGATACAGAACAACAATACAAACAAGAAACGACCAAAAACAGTCACAAACCACGACAACAAAAAACCTGAAATAACCATAAAACTGAGAACAGACACAAAACCACAAAGATGCTAAATGACAACAAATAGATGCAAAATGATCACAAAGAGACAAAAAAAAGCCACAAAAACACACGAAGAAGCAGCAAAGAGACATAGAGAGACAAAACAACCGCATTGAGACGCAAAACCACCACAAACAAACACAACATGACAACACGGAGACAAAAAATGATGAGCCACAGACGCAAAACAACAAAACAAAGGAAAGACCAAAGAGAGACACACACCGCAACAAAGAGACAAGATGGCCATAAAGACACACAAAATGACGACAAAAGACACGAAAACACCACAAAGAGATGAAAAACCACCACGTGATTTCTGCATCGCCAACTTCATACACGTCTGGTTCCCATGGCAACGTGATGTTTACAGTGTGATGCTGTAGCTCCACGGCTTCATTCAGTGATATTAGTGACACACAGCTCAGCATGTCAGCAGATAAACACATTCCCTCAGCTGAGAGTCTGGATCGCTCATAAATAACAGTCAGGAACCCGTCTGGTTAAAGGGAGACGCTCTGGAACTCTGAACAGAACCTGGACCGGGTTAGCTCCACAGGATCAGTTACCATGGAGACCTAGCTCCACAGCATCAGTTACCATGGAGACCTAGCTACACAGCATCAGTTACCATGGAGACCTAGCTCCACAGCATCAGTCACCATGGAGACCTAGCTCCACAGCATCAGTTACCATGGAGACCTAGCTCCACAGCATCAGTTACCATGAGATCTAGCTCCGCAGCATCAGTTACCATGGAGATCTAGCCAGGTAAAAACAGAACCACTTTTGTGACACTGAAAACTCTGACTTACAGCTCATTATACCTGATAACCCAGCTTGGTAGTACAGCCCTCAGATTCATCAGCTGCTGTCTTCATATTTATCACAGATAATAAACATCAAACAGCTCCAAGGTCTTAATTCTTCTCTTCAACTAACACCCACTTCATATCAACAGCATCAAGCAGGACAGAATTTTATGACAATAAAATGATCACAAACTACAGACACTTTATCAGTTCAGTGTCAAATTAAATCAGTTTTTATATTCATATGTTCATTTTTGTCGCAGCAGACGTCACGAAGTGCTTCACACAAAGACGGACAAAACAAAGCCGGAGGATTCAAGGACAAACCAACTTTTTAAACGTCAGGGACCTTTTTCTGTGCGACACATTCACACGGTGGAGCTTCAGGTAGCTTCTGTAGAGCCGCCTTTAAAATCACACAACACCACAAAGTCCTGTTGGAAGCGTGACGGACTGACGCAAAACGAGCACAAAGACACAGAATAATGATAAAGAGACACAAAACAACCACAGAGACACACACCGTTGTGACCCTGTGGCTCTTACTTCCTGTGTGACAGCTTCATCACGTCTGAATGATGAGTTCAGGGTTCAAACAGTTTAAACCTGAATCAGAAGCTTCACGTTCTTTATTGTCCCGTTTCAACATCAAGACGAGCAGAAGCAGCAGATTGAAAAGTGGCCCAGAACATTCTTGAAGACAAACAGCAGCTCTCAGTCGTCGGAAACAAAACAACAGCAGTGGACCGAGACGGGAGGAAGCGGATTCCTCGGAGGATTCACGGAGCTGCAGGCAGAAACCGAGAACGTGACGAACGGCACGAAGGGCAAGGTCTGACTTCAGATCGACGGAGTTCAGACGATCTGCTGGAAACCAACCGGTTCCTGAGTGAAGATCCGAACCGAGGATCCTCGTCTGCAGCATTCAGGGTTCAGAAGTTCAGCTCAGCGCCGAGACAACGCTGCCTTTATGTTTTACTTTGCTAAACATGTTCCAGGTCTGGTCTCGCCTCCACGATGCTCTGAATGAAACCTTCAGAGCAGATCATTAAACTAAAGCCCATCCATCATCGTCTTCACTCGTTTAATCAGGCAGTCAATGTCAGTCCGTCACTTAGTCTTTACATTTATACTTTAATCTGATGCTATTTTATGACTGGATTGATTTGACTTTGGCTGATTTTCTAAAGAACTGCCTGACAGTTGATATTTTAATGTTGCATCAAGTTTAAAATAAAACCCTGCATATAAACACAAAAATAAAGAAGAAAACCTGCACATTAATACACAAAAATACAAATAAACCTGCATATTAATGAGCAAAAACGACTAAAACCTGCATATTAATGAGCAAAAACGACTAAAACCTGGATATCAACACACAGAAGTGGTAAGACGTTAATTAGAAAAAGTATTTCAAGAAGTGGGCATTAATACAAATACCTGTGAACATCCCAGATATTAATGCACTGAACTGTTGAAAGACGGAATATTTACACATATTATTAATATTTTAGGAGTTTTCACCTTAACATCTACGTTTCCTTTACCTCCATGTAGTTTGTTGGTACTTTTATCAGAAGCAGTTTTCTTGTTGAGGCCTGTTTTTTCCATGTAACTGGGGTTTGTGCCTCTTCTGCTGATGTTCTGTAGTTTTATTTATCGAGGCCTCAAAAATACTTAAATTTAACAGTTTAAGACATAAACTATCACTTCGATCTGAAATCATTGTAGTTTGGTCACCACTAACGTAAACTCAGGAACAAAACTCAGATTTGGAGGCTGAACTCGGCGAAACACCTGACGGATGTTCTGCAGGACTGATATCTGCTCATCAGGAAGTCATTATGGTTCTGCTGCAGGGTGGAGCTGCACAGGAAGCTCAGAGTAAACAGAATAAAGAGCAGAAACATTCCTGACGTGCAGCACGTCCTCAGATCCTCCTGCAGCAGGCCGAGAGCGTCTCAGAGCAGCTCACCTGCAGCTCCAGGTGACAGGAGCTGTAGAGGCTGTGTTGGTTCTAACATGTGAGAGGCGCGAAACAATTCTGCCCTTTAATTGTATCTTATACGAGTTGGAGCTCAGATAAGAATCAACGTCTTTAACTGAAACTGAACCATAAATCAGCTCCATCTTGACCAGAGGGGCTTACAGCCCGGACGGCTGTTATCTTGAGCCGCCCAACACCACTCCTTCTGATTGGTCGAAGCCTGAACTCCACGGTTCTCCTGTTCTGTGTCTCTTTGTAGTCGTTTTGAGGTCCGAACTGCAAAGCAGATCAACGAGACAGCAGCTCCGATGAGCCTAAAGTCTGACTCTTCAGTGTCATCAAGGCGTTTCTCTGTTAACCTGCTAGATCGCCGTGGTAACTGATGCTGTGGAGCTAGATCTCCATGGTAACTGATGCTGTGGAGCTAGATCTCCATGGTAACTGATGCTGTGGAGCTAGATCTCCATGGTAACTGATGCTGTGGAGCTAGATCTCCATGGTAACTGATGCTGTGGAGCTAGGTCTCCATGGTAACTGATGTTGCACACAAAATAACCATAAAGAGACAAAAATGGCAAAAAAGAGGCACAAAGAGCTTCATGCAGGTTACAGCGACCTGTTTCTTTGCGGCATGACGTTCAGGTTGCAGTCGACCCTGAGATGTGTTTCTAGCATCATGTCAGGTGTTAAACTGCTGTCGACTCACCTGCAGAGGTCCAGTGGAGTCCTCCAGGACTGGCAGCGAGTCGCCGGCGCTTCCTGACGCTGACGCCGCTGTGGGGGGCGGAGTCTCCAGCAGGGGGCGCTGCAGCCACATTGGGGGTGGAGGAGAGGACGGGCAGCAGCGGCGTGGACAGAAAGGACGCCTCCTTCCCCAGAGCTGGAGTCAGGAAGCTGCAGTCTCCATGTGACGACCTGCAGGAGTCCAGCAGCAGCACAGGTGTTAAGGAGGCGGAGCCACGGTCCGGTCATAAACACATGTTGACTGAACACCTGGATCAGTCACTCCTTCTCCTACAGGTTAACGCTAAATACATTAAATCAGAAGCTTCCACTTTCCCAGCACAAACATCAAGAAATGATCTGCTACAAACTAACTAACTAACTAACTAACTAACTAACTAACTAACTAACTAACTAACTAACTAACTAACTAACTAACTAACTAACTACAGATGCTCTAAACCAGGCTGACGTTTGGTCCTAAGTGTACAGTTCACATTTCAGCGTCGTTTAAAGGAAACTGGTGTCATTAATACTGCAGAACCTCATGCAAATAAATAAACAGCAATGTATGCTTTAAAGGGAATCAAACAGAAAACGGTTTCTGTATCGACAACAACCTGCCAAAGAAAACAGCCCATAATAGTCCAAAAGCTGTAAACACAAGATTCACTCAGAGTTTGATCAGTCACGTTTTAGCAAATGAAAAACTAAGGGGACGTTTTGTTTGCTTGTTTGTTTGGATGTACTTTTAGATTGATGTTAGGATGATTTGAACTGGTTTTAGATGTGCTCTTAGACTGGTGTTGGGCTGATTCGAACTGGTTTCGGACTGGTTTTGCATGTGTTTCCAGTGAGCCATCAGATCCACTATCTTGTGTGCATCCTCCTGCCGATGACTCACAGTAAAGCAGTGAAGCAGCTTCCTGCGGCTGCACGTTTTGCATATAAATAAGTGAGTGTAACTCTCCATGCTGGTAAAGGTAACTGGTCAGGTGTAGTCTTCAGTCCAAACCACTGAACATGTTCACGTTTAGCTGTGAAGGTTTAAATACAGAAAAGTTAACACTGAGGTTTCTGAGAAAAGAGCTCCAGTTTTGACAGTGAGTCCAGCGACTGAGGGACATGGTAACGCTGATCAGACAGTCTGTGCTGAAAAACGTTCCTGTGCCGTCCATAAAAACCAAACATGCTGATTAATTCAAGAGAAACCAGACACTGAGAATCATGTTTACAGTAGAACATGGAGCCCAGCGTGGCTGCTACTGTACGCACGGAAACTGTCCTTTAGAGGTGAACCTCCGCGATACCTGGACTCTGAGACCACGTAGCTGCGACTCCTCCATGATCCTCGGATCTCTCGGCTTCCCTTCCTTTTCCTCCGCAACAATAAATCCAGCAGCTGAGCCCAACTCAGCATCTCCGACCGACTCGCTTCAACGCATCGCGTCACAAAGCGTCGCCGCCAGAAGCGACTCCTGTTCTCTAAAAGCCTCGAGAAACGGGTCTCCAAAGGTTCCCAAACACAAGCAGACCTGAGTGCAGTGGAGGTCCATGTGAAGGAAACGCTCCTCTCAGGTGTTCGGTGCCCAGCAGGTGTTACCTTACCTGTGGGGGTGGGGGTGGGGGGGCACAGAAGCTGAATCAGCGGAGTCGAGAGTCAAGTGCTTGGTGTATCAGAGTTTATCCAGCAGAGCCTTTGTTTAGGTGAAAGGAAAGCTGGAGCAGCTCTGCAGGACGGAGTCAGCTATCAGGGAGGCTCAGATTAACGCCGGAAACAAACACACATAAATCTAATTATCAGCGCCGGACCGGGCCCGGATGGTCGGCGCTGAAGGAGGGTCACTGAGTTTGGACAGAAGAAAAGATCATTTCAAAAGAGACTCCAACGCAGCTGTACTGCCGCATTACAGTCAAGACCAGTCCGAACTGGCTCCAGACGTTGATTTGAGCTGGTTTTGGACCGGTTTCAGAGCTGCTTCGAAGAGGTCTTAGACTTCATTTCTGGCCCGGTTTTGAAGTGATGGTGGACTTGATTTTGAACCTTCTGTGCTGGCTTTGGACCAGGTTTCTGTACTGGGTTTTGAATCTGAATTTGGACTGATTCTACACCTGACTTGAGACTTGGTTTTGGACTGGATCCAGAACGGTTTTGGTCTGGTGTGTGCCTGGTCTAAAACTGGTTTTGGACCTGGTTGTGGGCTGGTTTAAGACTTGTTTTGGACTTGGTTTTGAGTAGTGTCAGGCTGGTTTTGAAGGGATTTTGGATTTTGTCTTTCAGACATGTATTAGGCTTGGTTTTGATCTGGTTTGAGACTGGTTCTGGACTGGTTCTGGACTG